CCCCCCCTCCCTACGCTTGACCGATACGACCGCGGAAAGCTGTAGATTCCAATCGCCAAAAGAATTCGGGAGCACTATGCAACCCCCTCCCCCACAGTATACACCAAAATTGCACGCACCGCGCTCATCTCGCCCTTGTGACGGGCGCCATTCGGCCGTTACGTCACAGTAGTGATCTGTTCCTTTTGATAGATTTCTGTTTCTTTTTCATAAAATTGACTCATACTAGCCCATATTATTTTGAAATTACTGTCTAGTGTTTTTTCTATGTTGTCTAAGTGTCCTATCGTTACATTAAGAATTTGTAACTGATTTCTTACTGCATGTAGTATTGTTTCCTGATTATTTTGTAAAAGATGTAATTGTTCATTTATAATTTTATCGTCGTCGGCGTCCATAGTTCCAAATAAGGATTTCGCTATTGATCCTATTCCATTTATTAGTCCGCGACGTAAGTTCGAAATAGGTATATAAATTTAGTTTATGCCCTCTGTTAGTTTTCTTGCGTGTTGTACATCTTTACTAATTAGATTGTATAGGTTAGTGCACATCTCCCATGTTGTGCCTATCTTTTGCTATGTATCGCATATTTCGAGCAGTTTTTTCGTATTTTTTTGTCATAATATTACTTTTTATTTTTTTCTTCGATTTTAATTCCTTGCGTTTCGTATTATGCACCTGTTGAACGTCCTTTGACTTATCCTTTGACTTATTTTTTTTCCTTACTCTTTGACGTAGCTTCTGACGCGCGTTTATTAATTTGAACTTTCGCCGTAATTCCTTTCTCGTCTGTTTTAACAGACGTTTTAACGTCGGTGCCTTTAGCATCCGATTTGGACTGAGTAAGATAAGCTGTCGTCGCTTATCGACACGTTTTCTTTAGCGAAATGTGTTTTCTCTGCTGGTTGGGCGAAAGTTTCCACTATAGGTTCGATTAGAGATTTGGATGAAGATTCTATCTTGAGTTTATCTCCTTCCCCGGCCGATTTATTTTTACTCTCGGCTGGCAGTTGTACTTCGACGCTAAGTTTTCTTGGTTTATCTGTATCTTGCGTACTAGACTTCGTTTTATCAGATCTTTTTTGTTTGCCTGTTTTCGTCTGACATTTCTCCTTTCTCACTTCTCAGTTTTTTCATTGTTCGTATCGCTAATAGAAGATTTCTTCTCACCTATTATCTCCGGACTCTCTGGAGACATTGCCCTTTTTATTTTTAATTTAGCGTCCGCTTGACGATACTCCCTTCTTTCGTTTTCAATCGATTCTTTAGCTTCAGTTTCATTGCGCTCTATTTTATCACTCTTATGTATTATATAAGTTTGTATTATTTCTTCAGTTTGCCGATTTATTTTAGGCGACAAGATGATTTCTTTGGGCACTTCTTTAAAATCGGCCTCCTTAGTAACTGTTGTTGGCGTCTCTATAATTCTCGAAATTTCTTCGGTTATTTGTTCTGATTTCGGGACAATCACTTTCTCTGCGTTATCTGAACACGTTAAAACTTTCGTTTTACTTAAAGCTTCGCTTGTTGGCACTGTCGATGACGTAAGATCGATAGTGACCTCTGTTTTTATCTTATATTTAGAGGCTTTATCTTTCTTGCGAGAATTAACTTTACCTTTCACGTTATCGTTTACTTCAACAACTTTTGCGCTATCGAGCACTTTTGGCTTAGGATTTTTGACTTCAGCATCAACCAACGATTTGTTGGATTCGAGAGGACTATTTTTGAGCATCTCTTTAACACTGTTTTCGATCTTCTCCCGATTCTTATTATTACACTCGACTTCAAGCTTCAGTCCTTTCGACTTTGTTTTGCTCTTCGATAATTGTTCCTTCTTTAACGTGTCTTTCTGTCTTGTCTTGCTTTCGGCTTTCGTAGTCACACTTGGTCTTTCAATTATATTTTTCAACGGAGCCTCTTGAGTATCCGATGATTTTGCAATTTCCGTCGAGCTGTTTTCGTCGACGATATTTATTTTCTCTTTTGTGTCATCGCTCGGAACGTTTGTTTGTTGCTGAACTGTACTCTCTGCGCTTTCTCCGTTATCTTCTTTCATATTCTTGCCTGCTTTATTCTTGTGCTTAATTTTAATGTCAGATTTGTTATGATTAACGTGAATATCGTCGGTAATATAAAGTTGATCTTTCAGCTCCTCTTTGGTACTACCTTTCCGGTCTTTCTCCTCGCTTTTGGAGCTTAAATCTTTCGTGTCATTGATATCATCTTTAATTTTTATGTTATCCTTAAGAGTACTTTGATCTAGCGCTTTAACCTGACTCGACAATATGTTTTGTCTCACTAGAGTGTTTTCTTTTGCTCTCGCCGTTTCTTTAGATTTTCCGGCTTTCTTGGATTTTTCGACAGACCTGAATTGGTCTGTTTCTTGTCCGTTTCATCCTTAGATTTGTCCAGAGTCTCGATGACGGATTCTTGAGACTTGTTCTGCTCTTTAAGCTTGTCCTTTTGAGACTTAGCTTTCTGTTTATCCATGTTCTTGATTCCTTTAAGCTCTTTGTCAATTTCATCGCCGCCCGCCTTAGTGTCCTCTAATATTACGTAAGGTGTGGTTATCCCGACAGGGTTGTCAGTGGTATTATTTATTGTTGCAGAATATGTATAATTGTCAGGTTCTACTAGACAATTTTCAATAAAAATTCTCTGCAAAATTTCCTTAGCTGAGATTACTCCCACTTTATTCATGTTCACCGCGGAGTGTTTTATTACTTCGCTGCGGGGAGGTTGTATATTTGCTGTGGTATTAGCGGTAGACTTTGTCCGGAAACCGTCATTGTTTTTGTTTTATAGTCGAATTTAGCGCGGTGTTTGCGAAAGAAATCTATTCTTAAGATCCCCTCATATTCGATTGGAAAATCATCTTGTACGACAAATAGTTCAAATTTCCGACGCTGTTTTTCTAAGCTGACGGTGGCGGTTATTTTTCCTATAATGAAGGCTTTATGTTCGGTGATACCCGTCAATTTTTTGCAGTCATAGGGGTATCATCATTTAATGTTTGTATTTTTACGAGACTAAATGCGGATCCCGTGTCAACAAGAAATGGTATTCTTTTTCGTTTAGCCTCTTGGGAGAATTTGTGTTCTATCACTATGTGATCTTTTCGCTCGCGGGGAGAGTTCGATATTAATCTGATTCTTTATGTTCTTTTTATATAAACATTTTTATTTTGATGTAGGGCTATATACAAGTGTACGTGTGTGTTCGTGTGTATGGGTGTGTGAGCGTGTATGTGCAAGCCTCTACAGAGTACGACGCGCCGCCGCGTTGAGCTTTGTTTTAGGGAGGTTGTGCTCCTTCCCACGGATCCTCTCCTGTCTGGGATGTCACGGAGCTATAGCTTGGTTCTCCTTATTTTCTTCGCGCTCGTTTGTACGAGCGAAGCACGGAGATAATGGTCGTCCGACCCGGGAGTCGCCGTGGGACAGTGTTGCCACCAGTGGGCGAGTCAGGGGTCGCCTAGGGAGGCAGATTCGTAGGAGCCTCCACGTAGGGAAGGCTTCCGCCCTGGAGGTGGCCGGTACGGGTGACTGTGGTGGTCCCCAATGGAGAGCGTTTAGAATCAGGGCCCGCGTCGGCGACGGGGTGAACGGCCTTCACGTGTGCTGGGGGTCGACTTGAGCTACGGCTTCGGGGGAGTTATCCCCGAAGAGTCTCTGGAGACGTCGCTTAAATCCCGCTCTCCCTCGCGGTCCCTGGGCAGGTGCTCGCACCAAGGAACCGGCTGATTGGGACGTCCTCGGCGTGGTGGCTTTTTGGGACACCGCTTTGGCGTTTGATGTCACGTGGCCGCTTCTACAGCGGATGCCGGGGCGCTTTGCAGCGCCTAGAGGTGATGCCGCTTCCGCAGCGGATGCCGGAGCGCTTCTGCAGCGCTGTAGGGTGAAACCGCTTCTGCAGCGGATGACGGGGCGTCGAGAGGTGCCGTTTGTAATCGAGACTGAGGGCTCTCTAGCTATGGCAAAAGTCGCTTGGAGAAGCCAGTGCGGTGGATTGTGTCGACCTCCTGCGGAGTCTGGCTTTTATTGTCTGCTAATGATAATTTTCTCGCGAGAAAACCCCCCCGCGAGTGCGCTGCCGAACGGCTCGGCGAGCGGCGCCGCGCTGCCCATGTGGCGGCTGCGGCGGTCGTGCTTGTGTGGATCTATATCGATCCACCACAGCCTCCTTTATTGGCAAGTTTACTAAGTCAAATCCGGCGCGGCTATGCAAATTTCGCCGGATCTGGTTTACGCGGTAGTCGCGCACGCGACTTTGTTCCCTTTTGTTTCTTGCCTCCTGGTCATTGTTGTATCTGGTGCTCCCGTTACTGTGAGATGTCGATGGTTTATTTATATCTAGCGCGGTGATAGTCACTGGGCGCGAGGATTTACGGTAGTTGCTCGAGGTGTCCCGTGCCTCGGTAGGCTTCGCGTGTATGTACCAACAGTTATCGCGAGTGTGTCCGTTTTTTTGCATCGTGTACACCATGTGTCTGTCGCATTCACGCGAGAGGGTACTGCTGGTTTAGGTAGGACAAACCGATTGCCATATTGGCTGCTACGGCATTTGCGTCCCTGATTTCCCAATTTTCCGCATTTTTAGCATTGTGCCATAGGATCATCTAGTTTAGTGTTGGCGAAAGAACTTCGGTTATATCGGTTTGCTTGATAGGTCCGCGCAGGAGCTTCATGGGTTCCTCTGATCCTTTCTTCCTCTACTGCTCCTGCTACTGTCTCGGTTAAAGTCGCGGGTGCGCGGGACCAGACTATTGTTTGTAGCCTGTCGTTTAGTCCTAATTGATAATTTACAAGGGCTAACGATTTCAAAAAGAAATGGATGCCGAGTTTCTGCCAGGAAGAATAGAAATCCTTCTCTGTACCGGCTTTGAATAGATCCGTAGTTAATGTTTCTAGACGGTTTCCGAAATTTCCGAACAAAGAGCGATCCCAGCGTATTTTCTTTAGGCTTCTGATGCAAATTATTAAAATCTCGAAGTAGTCGAGTTACCGATTTTTTTTTCATAAAGCATCTTTCTAATACGTCCTTTAACACAGCAAAAGTAGAAATGTTTCGGTTTTTAACCTCACTTAGGGCAATGTTCTTTAGCTTAGTGCAGATTACTGCTCGAATTAATGTGGATTCGCCAGCAGGATGAATCAGTTCGAAAGCATATTCGCACGCCATTAAAAATTCTATTAGTTTGTCATCTTGCATACCATTGAATATGGGAATCTGATCTCGCGCTTTTCTGATGCGCTGGGATTGCTTTTCGTTAATCGGGGGTAACTCGTCTGTGAAGTGGTCATTGTGACCTCGTCCTCGTCTGCCTGGAGGGGATCGTTCAGCTTCTATGTTAGTATTCCTCACGTTTAGTGGGTCGTCTCTGTGTGAGTTAGTTGATAGAGCCGCATTCGTATATATAATATCTCGTAATTCCTCTATGCGCGCTAATAGCTGTCCGTTAGCAGTTTTATATAAGTCAACGTCGTGTCGAATTCTACTAAGTCCCGGTTGAGTTTCGTTTACGTCGCTCAATGGATCCGCCCGCAGTAGAAGCCCGCGTGGGCGAGAGATTTCCTGATTCCTTTCATTCTCCGCCGCGTGTAGGTTTTCATTGCGTTGCCCAGTGGCCATTTCGTCAAATGGATCGAATACGCTACTATCGTAAGACGTTAAGGAAAATTCTCCTCTTTGCGAGACATCGCTAGTAGTGCTGTGTGAAGGTAGGTATGCGCGGCGTCTTGTACGTCGGGTGTCGTCTGTAACATGCACGTCCGTTAGTATACTAAGGTCTATCTCGCCGAAAGGGAATTCACGTTCGGCGGTTACGTGTACTGGAGATTCGCGTTCGGTTTCGCCCGAGTAATCTAACACACGTCGCACAAGCTTTAATGTTTCACGCGCGTCATTTATAGCGCTGAGAACTGTCTCGTTGAGATTCGATAGGCGCTCGATAGTTAATCTCGCTGGTGCGCTATATAGCCACGATTGGTTCGATATAGGTCGGTTAGGAGTACCGCTTTCGCTCGACATTCACGTTTTTACGTGTACGTTCGTATAAACCTAATCGCTTAAGTTACAATGGTTTTTCGACTTACAGTAGCATTGTGGTAACGCTATTTCTCATTTGGTGTGGGATAGGCTGCGAGTCGGTATGGTCCGGATTCGGGCAGAGGCAAATAAGTGGATAGTGGAGTAGATATTAAGATGATGTCTATTCTACGTTAAATGGCTATTTACAATGTGTATGTACAACTTGGCTCGACGCCGTTGGTTTAATGTTCGAGTTTCGGTGCTCGCTGTGCGAGTCTGTTTATGTGAACAGCTGACAATTCGGTAACGCTAGGGGCCGCTGGCGTTCGCGGGACGCGGTCGGTGTGATGACGCGCCAATTGTCTCGCGCTTGCGGCGAGATGTTTATGCTTGGGTCTTTAATTTCGGTTGCACGGCGAGATCCGTTTATCGTGCCCCGTGTTGCCGGGACGCGAAAAAGTTCGGCATCGGTGTTGCGGGCGCGGCAGGATGTGTGGCGGTGGGTAGTATTTAATAAAAGTCTATAGCCGCTAATTGTAATTTATATAAAAGGCTTTATTATAAATCGTACTAGACGTGTTTAATTACTACTCCCGAAATCTTATGGTAATGCGCAAGCTGCGTGTCGGGTACGTATGTCGCGGGCGAGAGACCGAGGTGTTAAGTCAGACTCGGCGGTCTTCTCCGCTTTTTTATAATATTGTTTAATTCTGTCGGAGGGGATGCCTGGCGACAAGGAGATTACCATATACCAAATATGGTAATAATTTGGTACGGTTCGGCTCGAAGTCCGAAATGCGGAATGTGCAAGGTGGTGCTTAGCGCAGCATTTGCACATCCGCTTTCTTGTAGCGCAATCGAAACGTTCCTCCTGAAGCGTTTCGACAGCGCTAATACTGTTCGCGATTATAACATCCCTCCCCCCTTGGGAAAAGAAAACGGAGTGCCTAGCGAGATTTTCGCAATCTTATTTTATGTACATTTTTTCCCGTTTACAATTATGGTTACAATCGTTTGTACTTATATTTTATTTTATCGTATTTGTGTTGTAACATTTGTTTTCCCGTATATAAATGTGGTTATAATCGTGTACTATTTCTACCTTATGCGTATAAGCTGTGCCTGTGTGCTAGCGCAGGAATTGTGGGTATTATAGGTTTAGAAGGTGTTTTTACATTTCACTGACTATTGCGTTCTACTATGACTGGTGGGTCTTTTTCTTTTTTTATTTTTTTGTTATAAATATTGCTAGTATAACTACTATTAATATGGTTATCCCGCTCGGTGCTGTTATATATATTATGTTCTTATAATGCGTTAAGGAGTTCGATCTATTTTCCGTATGTTTGTATTATTTTATTACTGAGCTCCGCTAATTCCGACGGATTTTGTATTATTTTGCTTGGTTTCACATGCAGTATTTCGTTTTCATTTTTAATTTCGTTTATTCCTGTTCTAATGTAATATTGTAATCCGATACGTGTGCTTGTATTAGCGTGCTACTTATGATACTTTGTGCTTGTAATATAATATCTTTGACTGTTAGTCTAAATTGATTTCTAATGTTTATGATTCCTGTTTTGTTAATTTTTTGTAAAATGTCTTTTCGCGACATTGAATGTGAGCAGTTTGCTTGCTGCGGGTGGAATACAACCACTCATTTTTCTGTG